TCCCCTCTTCCCCTTTCAAAATCAGCACCTCGACGCTGAAATTCAGCACCTCGACGCTGATATTCTTCTCTTATTTCACCAAAATCTGCACTTCCGTCATATTCCCCCTCCTGCCTTCACAATCAGCACCTTGACGCTGAAAATCAGCACCTCAACGCTGAAAGTCAGCACCTCGACGCTGAAAATCAGCACCTCGACGATCATTTCTCATGCTCATCTCCTCTCTAGAAAGTGGCTCTAGAGGTGGCATGTCGTCCTCTCCCTCAAGGACCTCTACTGCCGGATTCCTCCTCCCCCGAAGCGGGTTCGGATTTCCTCCTACGCCATGGTCGCCGACAGTCTCTCTTGCTTCCGACGCCGTCGGATTAGTCTTCATCTCAAGTAATTTCTTCATCATCTCTTCCATCGCCGCGAACCTCCCTTCCAACCTATCATTGTTGGTGGAGATTTCCAGGAACTTTCCCTCCAGATCTGTCTTCAGTTGTCCGAACTCGCCTTCTAATACTTCCACCTTCTTTCCGGCCATCTTTCTTCTAACGGATCCAAAAAAATCTTCTTCCGGAAAAGATAAACTTGCTGAAATTTCAGAATTTCAGCCGCCGGTGGTCCCGAATCGATGCTCTGATACCAATTTGATAGGAAACACTTGTGTTCGCAAGTAATCCTAACCCAAATCAGTAAAATTTCAGCAGCAAACTGCTGTCCACAGCAGCCAAACAGCAGGAATTCAGCAGAAAATAGGGAAACCGGAAGAAAAACACAATAATATGCTTGTATTTCACTAAAAAATCAAGGAAAACAGCAAAGATACACTTGATCCTCAATTCGAGAGGAGGATCGATCTCTCCCCAATCTCTAGACACCGCTAGAGCCCAAGGAAACCTAAATCTAAGAGATCTTAAATTTCAGCCAAATTCCATATGCCCAAACCCTAGCAAAATCAACTATTTAATGCATACAAATCAAAAGGAAACCCCTAAACAGTCCCTACGTTCAAATTCCCTCCTAAAATCCATTCAAAAACCTTCCTAAAACAGTCCCGCAAGATGAGCGGCTCGCGCGGCATCCCGCACAGGCGGAGTTCTCTCCGCTGTTTTGCGGTTTCGCCCGTGAACCGGTCCCGGCTGGACCGGTCCAGTGGACCGGTCTAACACAACACAATCCAACTAATGTGCGTGCTCTGAATGCTTAATAGTGGAGTGTCTCATCTGAACGAGGCTTAATGGTAGATATTTGGCAGAGCAGGAAATTATGGCTATGTCTCCTATACATCCTGGATTATAGAAAATGCCATGTTCATTTATGAAAACTGCATTTCTGCCAGTAGGGTTTGTGCATTCTGCAGCTGAATTTTACATGAGTAATCATAAAAATATGATGTTTTATGAAAGAATTCAAAAAGAACGTCTTGTGAATTCAATCAAATGATTTAAAGGTAAAATCAATGTGGTTTTTTTATGCGTCTCACTCGTAAATGGACAAACTTTTAAGTATCTGCAACCTCATATCATACAGCAAAAGCAAAAAAGTACATGGATCAAGGGCTTTAACTGCTCTATGTATAATGAACCCAATTACTGACGCAAGTAGTGCTGTGTCTATCCTCAGAAAAAGATTCATTGAGAAAGAAGAATGGGAATTGCAAATCACAATAACCATAGAGCATCTTAATGATTGCACTCAACAAAGCAGGTTAAGTGATGTATGAATGACAAAAAGGCTGAACTATGGAAGTAAGTGGATCAATGACCTGGTAATTTTTTGGCCGGCTTATGGAAGCCTGGGCCACCATCATTATACAATGGATCTCCCCAGTGCAATAACATTTTCTTCCAGTTGCAGTAACTGTCTTTACAGATTCTTAGCCTTGCATCGGTCACATTCCTCTTCCAGTGACCATCTGAGTAATTAGCTTTCTCTGCTTGCCTCCTGTCCCACTCCAAAGCTGCCTTTCTTTGTGTACTTAGAAGGCAAAATTTCTGCAACTTCTTCGGCATCGAATCATGCACTCTCCACCACTTCTGATGAGCAACATCACTAGCAAACTCCTGCATGAAGTCCACATTCCAGTTGCAATCATAGTCCCGAAAACATAGCCATGGCTTGAATCCTAAATAGTGAAGCACATAGAGAACTGGAGGCTCGGCGCCAAACAAACTGGTCTTCTTAGCCTTTTCCTCTCCATCATCACCAATCCAGAAATGTTTCAAGAAGTTCATGTGCCGGGGAATTCTGTGCCACCATGTAAATATCTCATTCAAGTATCCCTGGTCGCCGCCATTGTATGATTTTATATCATTGATGTGTTCCATTAACAACTTGAAAGTGCAGTTCGAAGGTTCAATGACCATCACGCCAGAGTTGAAGAGAGTTCCATTGTTTCCTGTTGCGCTGATCTCTGGCATAGTGAAGAGGAAATCAATGTTTCTTAGAACAAGAAGGTCGGCATCAATGAAAATGATTTTATTATATTCAGTGAGCTGCCATAGGCGAAACTTGCTGTAATTCCACTCATTGTAAGCATCTTTCATGGCTTTAGGATTTCTTATCCTTCTGATCTTTTTGATCTTCCACCCTGCAGCTTCAAGGCCATTCTTGTAATGGCTGCTGATTGTTTCGTCAACAAGGATTATGAGGTCTCTGGTTGAACCAGTTAAACGTATACTTTGAGCTGCAGCAATTGCTCCGCAGACATATTCATCTTCAGAGTGGAGAATTGTAGCATATGCTTCTCTGTGGGCATTAGTTGATGATGGTCTCACTGTTTGAAGTATGAAGAAAAAGGATGTTAGCTCCTCTGATATAATGAAGCCATTTGCCATCAAATTCAGAAAAAAAAATTATGAAATATAAAGAGTAAGATGCTTGTTAAGTACTTATCGTGCAAATGAAGGTATCTATTACTTGTTATTATCTGCATTTATTAGGACCTTTGTTGCATTGTTACTTGTTTAATTAAACTTTCTAATTTAACCGAGATGCATAATACCTTTGATGTACAAATACAGACACAACGACATGGATGCGACACAATACAGACACGAGACACGTCAATTATTAAAATTATAGGACACGGAGACGGGTTATATATGATATTATAATTTTTTATATCTAAAAAATAGTGTATAAAAATTGAATATTAAGAAGAATTGTGAAATAATAAGTCATTTAATTAGGAATATTATAATGTCGAGAGTCGAGACATCAGGAGGAGAGAGACAATGTCGTAGAGAGTTGAGCATTGGAGTTGTGCATTGGGCATCGAGCGTCAATATTAAGACATCATCAGTCTTCAATGTTAAGATGATTTTAAAATATTAATACTGTGACAACATCAAAGAAATGACATTGTGCGTTTTTGTGAAGCCCTAGTTGTAATCCGCTAGAGAGAAATAAAATGGGAATGTTCAAGGAACAAGATATTGATTATGAACGATTGATTTGGGGCAGCGGAAAAAAAAGACATTTAATTTTTATTTCTTAATAAAAAAAATTTAAGTATAAGAAATCATCTTTCAGAAAATATTTAAGACATGCATGTCCAAATTGTTTTTATTATTTTTTAAATTAGACACGTCTTTGACGTGTATGTACATGTTGGAGGCGTGTTAGGTGCTTGTCATGTCCGATACGTGTCAGACGCTGCATACCTTTTTGTGAAAACGTGTTGGTACTACATAGCATAATACCTACTCTTTTGTTGGTAGCCTGGAATTAGTGAATTCTTATATCAGGAAAAAGACAAAATGTTTTTCCCTGCTTCTAATCCATAATGAAAATAGCTAGTTACATATGGCTAAACATGGAATAATTCAGAATAAAAAAGATAATTTATGAACATCTTCTATGTTACCACAAATTGCTAGGAATTATAAGAAATCAATATAGTAACACATGTTCAAAATAAATTATAGAAAATCATTCTTATGGAGGAATATTTGCAAGACAAACTTGAGACAAGCAAAGCTGAGGCTTTTTTAAAATTTATGTATTGGAATTCATCTTCCTTATAAACTTTAGTCTTATCCCAATTATTTAGGCTTATATGAATTCTAGCGCTCTATTCTTTCCTGCTAGTTGTTTTACAAAGGTTTTAAAATTATTCTAAGTGAATCTTTTTGTGTCTTTTATCCATGTTACATTGATTCTTATCATTATTGTACTATTCCTATCTTTAATTTTAACTACTCTTCTTATGTGTGTATTTTTTTGCCATGAATAAATCACGTGAGTCTATATTACCTTATTTTATTTTCAATAGGTGCTACTCTTTTAATTCTTCTAATATAATTATTTCTCTCTTTATATTAAAGGATTCATATCATGATTATTCTTACATGGAGTATAATTTTAGTAGTAATAGATCTAATGGGGGGGATATTGACTTTAGAAGATCAAGTCATAAATAAGAGTACACGCTTTAGATATCTCGGGTCTATTGTCTGAAGTGATGGTGAAATAGATGGGGATATTATTAGTAGAATTCAAGTTGAATGGTTGATGTGGAGGAATGCATCGAGCCTATTGTGTGATAGAAATATACCTCTCAAACTTAAGGAAAAATTTTATAAGATGGTGGTGCGACTTGCAATGCTTTATGGCGTAGAATGTTGGCCATTAAAAGAAAAGCATACAATTAAGTTAAGTGTTGCAGAGATGATGATGCTCAGATGGATGAGTTGTTTTACTCTTAGAGATAGAATGCGAAACAAGCATATATGTGAAAAGGTTGGAGTTGCTCCAATGGCAGATAACATTAGAGAGAGTCGCCTTAGATGGTTTGATCATATAAAACATCGGCCTTCTTATGACCTGGTCAGGAGAGTATATGTATTAGATTTGACCCATGTTAAGAGAGGTAGAGGTAGACCTAAAAAGACTTGATTAAAAAATATTATAAATGATATTTCTATTAGTTTTAAACGAGAACTTGACTCATAACAAGACACAATGAAGAAAAATGATTCATATACCCGACCCCATATAGTGAGATAAAAACTTGATGTTGTTGTTGCTGCATTTCAATAGTATTGTTTCTATGCACTAGTATTGGATGATTAATGAAAATCTTTGAATTGAATGCTTCATGGATATGCTGAAAAGACCGAAATGGCTACTTATGAGATCCAATAATTTTACTTGATTGCACGAGAAATTTACTAAACTAAAAGGCAAACCGTGACTAACAAATCATTAAAAACTCACCTTTATGTTCAAATGGAAGTGATAATTCACATGACCCTATTGGAAACTTGAGTTTCTGCATTAAAACCTGCAAGTTAGGCTTGTATAACCAAATGTTCCCCTTTCTTGCAACAAGATGCTTGCATGAAAAGAGGTTTGGTATTGGAAGACAGTCTGTAACAAGAAGAACTAGTGCTGGGTCATGGCCTTCTTTTGAATCCACAGAAAGTTTGGCTGCTGCATGCTGCAAATGCAATCGAGCTATGTCCCTTGTCCAGTTGCCAGTCCTATTGCAAGGAAGTTTGACAGCCACCAGGCCAAATTGTGATCTTCTTGGTACCTTAGGATTTGGAAGATTTTGGCAAGAGGGTTCATCAGATTCTTCTTCCTCATCAATCCATTCAGGATAGAGGTCATCCCAAGTAAGATTTTTACCAGCATTGTCAAGTTGAACCTTTGAAAATTTCGCAGTTGGCAATAGATTTTGCCAATTTTTTATCTCAGTGCTATTGAAGTTTAGTAATCCAACCTTCAGATTTTCTTTCCTTCCATATAACTTTGTTGTGATTTGTAGTATTTGAGCCCACTGAATATCTAAATTTGAGACGTATCTTTGATCAGGGATCTCCTTACTCCACATCCACCCAGCACTCGCAAAAGTTGACCTGCATAGTTGAATTTTAAGCTATAAATCAGGTTCATATTTAAAGATTAGAGTAGTTAGACTGAGTGGTAGTCTACTTTTCTTTCACTTTCCATTTGTAAGAGTAACGAAATATAAATATGAAAGTTTGGAACTGTTATTTTGAACAAGGCAAGCAAAACAGGTAGAGGATGAAGTCACTGTATGTACCGAGCAAGGCTGCTTGATGATTTTGCATAACGACACTTTACTGGAGAGTGAAGAACTTTAAACAAGATTCCAAACACAAAAAATACAACTAGGTACTTCGACCAACAAAGCTTGCTGCTGGAACTCCTTTCTTGACTTGGATTCACCAACTTAGTAGTTTCTTTGAGGCTACTGCTTTTGTGTGTTCTTCTTAGGTTTCCGTCAGAACTGAATAAATTTAAAAATAATCAAATGAGATATTTGTTTCGAGGTTCATCAATATGAAAACAACTAAATGTGTAAATCAATCATCTTTTGGAAGAATAAATAACAAACAGCAATGTTCCCTATCTTGGAAGGCTTCACAAATTCGGGGAAGTTATTGAAAATCATAAATGATAGTAAATAAAATGAGAAAGTACATAAAATTAAATTAGAAAAATTCAGAAAAAATCAATTAAGTAATCTCACAATGATAAAAAATTTGGAATAAAGGAAGGGTTTTTGCATCTAAAATTTATATTTTATTCTTGCCACAAATTATATTACATATCTCATGATTCTCTTTCTTACATATACAAGTAACACAAATGATTAACAAATTGTAACAAATTTAAAAGCATAGTAAAAAAAATAACTCCAATAAAATAATAAAAGTACCATACTGTCCAAAAGATATAGAATAACTCAAATTATTTGTGAGAAAACAAAATAACTCAAATTATTTCTGAATTTGGAAGGCTTCACAAATTCAGGGCAGTCAGGGAAAAATCAGAAATGATAAATACAATGAGAAAGCACATACAATTAATTAAGATAATTCAGAAAGAAAATCAATTAAGAATCTGACAATGATAAAAAATTAAAATTCTTGGAATAAATAAAGGGTTTTTGCACCTAAATTTACATTTTATTCTTGTCACAAATTACATTACATGTCTCATGATTCTGTTTCTTACAGATGAAAGTAAAACAAATGATTAACAAATTATAACAAATTTGAAGGCATAGTAAAAAGATAACTCCAATAAAATAATTAATTACCATACTATCCAAAAGATATGAAATAACTCAAATTATTTGTGAGAAAATAAAATTTGGATTTTATGTTTATCAACCTCCCTTAGTACAATTGAATAGTCATGTAAGTTATTGGATCCAAATTTATTGGGTGGATGATGCATTTATGCCATAACTTACTAGTAGATTTACTTGGTAAGCTATGAGGAATCTCTTAGTGAGAATGGGTAATTAGAGAGAGTGGAGAGTGGAGTTGAATAGGCTGACAAAACTTTCACTATCTCAACCATGGATACAAGAATAAGCTTAAGGCCTAAAAAGGTTTATAGCTCTCTAAAAGTCTAAATTTTTTATCCTTAATTATTCCCCATCATTTCATATTTATAGGGCTTTGAGGGTTGTCGGAAAAACTACGTGAAAAAGAAAAAATGTGGGCTACAAGTAGATGCCTATACAACGTTATACACTAGTCTATGATATGTGGTGCCTCTTGATAGATTCTCGTGAAGACGAAGTCAATGATCTAACTTATGGCCTGTCGTCACGTGATCTTAAGAGGGGGCGGGTAGGCATAGGGCGAGTCTTGAAAGAGGGCAGATACGTAGCCGGAGGGTTATATCATGTTATCGGTTAATGCTATAAGAGTTTCAATGTCGCTCTAGTGATGAAGGCAAGATGAAATGTGAGTGGAGATGGCAAGTTCTCAAGCCTAGGATGAGTTGTAGCTGAATGAGTGTGGGATTGTGAGGTAGGTGCTTTTCTGTAGGTGCGTTATGCCTACTCGGAGGGCTCCGAGGATAAGATCTTGACTGAGATGAGCGATTATCTGCTTTCTTGGTTGTCGCTCAGTGTAGGGTGAGTTTTTTTAGTGGATGCGTAATACTTGAATGGACCAATTCAGTCGAATCGGTCTAGTATTGATCTCAGTAGGTGAGAGGGTGAGAGCGATAGGAATTGCATGATCAAGCAAGCGGTCGAAATGTGTGAGCAAGTAGGTTGGGGCGAAGCGAAGCAAATGTCTGCGAGCTTAGAGAGATCGGCATGACTCCTTGCATGGGTCAATGATTGATTTCACTTCGTTTTGGGAGAAAATTCAAAATGAGAGAGAGGAGCTCGGGCGAGGAAGAATAATATTATATTTAAGAGGAAGAGTTTGCATTTTCTTTTCACCAGAAATAGGTGAGCAGTTCGTTGTTTCTTTTTATTATATTAATTCTTCTAGGTGAAGGAGAAAGTTAGAATAGTTCATGTGCTTGATGTAGATGGAGGAAGAGTAAGGAGTTTTTTTTGGTAGAGATGAGAAATTTATAATGGTTAATTGTGTTAAAGTGGTTTGTTGTTTTTTTTCAACATGAAGAAAGAAATAATCGACCAAAATTCATAGGATTTTAACTAAAAAAAGAAGAAGATTTGAGGTAAATAATCAAGTTATTTAAGTCAAATTTTCAAGGAATATTATATCGGATGTGATTAGAAATATAGTTTGTTAACTTAGAGTAGTACGGCATAGTCGATATTGTCATTGATGACATCCAATAATTTGTCTACGTTCTATTTCTTCATAATTTGGTCTAAAAATATTTAGTATATATAACTGTTATTTTTAGAAAATGAAGAAATTTAATTGATGAGTTGAGACGAAATATCATAATCAAGCTAAGATTCTCAGAAAAAAAGGCAAGAGTTAATATGTTAATGCATATTTAGTTTGAAGTACATAAAATTTGATTGTAAAATAGTTACGGGATTTACATAATTGTGTTGTTTATTTTAGGTGCTATATTAAGGAGGGTTGTTTAAGAACCGAAGGAATTTGAAAAAGTTCCCACACATAAAAAAGAAGTGAAGTGCCAGAACAGAAAAAAGGGGCCAGGCCAAACGAGTAAAGAAGGAATCTCTTAAGCAAGCAAAAGGAGAGAGGGGGATTCGAACCCTCGATAGTTCCTTGTTTAGAACTATACCGGTTTTCAAGACCGGGGCTATCAACCACTCAGCCATCTCTCCCAAATAGAATCTCTCTCTATTAATAGTTATATATATAAATTAATGCAATTATGTAATATTATATCATGTATGTAAACTTATTGAATTTTAAACGAACTACCATACATTAAATAAAGGAAAACTAAATAATCATAATTATAATATTGAATGTATGTGAATGTGAAAAATTACATATGTAGATTGATATATATATATATATATATATATATATAAAGAAAATGAAATGAATATAATTAACTATAGTAAGGAAATGAAAAAAAATGTTGAAATGGTGGCCTAAAAGAGAATGTAATCATAAGTGTTATAAAAAGGAAGGTGTAAGAAGATTGATTGATATGATATGATACACTTATATATATATATATATATATATATAAACTATTTTGCAACTAAGGGATATAAAAATGTTAGAACCTACTCTTCCTTTATATGGTCACTGGTTACTGATCAATCCTTATAAGATATAAATCTTACCCTGATTGTTCTTGGTCATATGATATGATTCTACTTACATTGACTGCTACATGCTTTTAAAGTTATATGCTCATATTGATGTTAATTGAATGAATAGATGCATAATTTTTCTATTGTCTTACATTGATTGTAGTGGTAGGTTTTGATAACCTAATGAGTTATTAGTTCATTCTGTGGTTTTATATTTTTTTCAGGAAGGGAACAAGATCCAATGAAGTGAGGAAGATCAGGTTTTGCTTTATTTCTTTAATTTTAGTTTTATTCTTTTGAAGTCAGAAGTTGGAAAGAAAGATACTTATTTATTATGCATGTTTTAAGTTTTATGATATGATTTTATTTAATTTTTTGTCAAAGATTTGCACAAGTTTGCATCATTATTATGTAAATTTTTATATTTGAATAAAATTAGTATTTATTATGTTATCCGATTCAATCTATTTTGAACCGTTGAACCATGAACCTCTCCTTCCAAATTGTTGTCTGGTGCAATTGTCACAACCTTACTGTCAGCAAGACATTAACCAATTATCCTCATTGAATGTGACAATTACATGCAAGACACCTCATCATAGTTTCCTTAAATCGTCATTATGACATCACACAACCTATGATGACCCAAAACCTACATAAATGTGGTTAATCTGGCAAAGGGAAAAGAGGAGCTCGCCAAACTAGAAGAGGAAGTAGGGTCCATTCTACTAGAAGAAATTTTCCTCTAATTTTCATGAAAACTTGATGGTTGTATTCTTTCCATTATAATTTGTTCTTTAATTTATTATTTGTTGCCATAGAAGGCATATCCATATCCCTACAAATCTTTCTCATATCATCTCCACCTCAACTATTAAATATAATAACCTGAAAGACCCCATTGTGGATGTTAGTCTCTTGATCGAACCTCTTTAAGTTGCTTGTGCCTTGTTATGATTTGATCTTTTTCTCAGCCTCCTTCAAAAGCAGGCAACTAGTCCAAGTTTGGTAGTTTCACTCATTATATTTGTCAATTTATTTGATGCCCTAAATTTAATAAATATCTTGATATATAAGTTTACAATCTTCAAGCATATAACTTTATGAAACATCAAAACATTAGTCCTAATATATGTGAGTGTTAGATTTAGGGCTTTAGTTATAATTACACATAATTGGTCATATAAATCCAACTTGTATTATAGTGGCATCAAC